TACCGAATTAAGTCGCTATGGCAACACGGCCAAAACAATGTCAAAACAATTATTTTCTATCATTTTGTACTTAAGAAAACATATAAATAAAATTTTAAAGCCGTAAGAACTAATCTTTTTTATGCATTTCAGTTGCGCGATGGACTGAATAGACAAAGATGAACGGCGTCGCTTCGCATTTTTTACTGAAGTTTTGTTGAGTGAACTATAAACAAAAAGTCGCACGATCTTCTCGTACAATTTGGAATAAATAGACACTCGTAATGTTTTGAAAGTTCTTTAATTGCACTCGCCTAAAGGCTCGTGCAATTACAAGAACTTTCAAAACATTACTCGTGTCTATTAATTTCCAAATTGTACTCGAGATCGTGCGATTTCCTATACTAATTATAACATAGCTATTATTTTATTATTAATTATTACCATTTTATTTTATTATAATTATCCATTTCTTTATTAATTATCATTTCTTAAATTAATTATCAATTTTATTATTAATTATCAATTATATATATTATGTACAATAATTATGGGGGTTTAGTATTAGAAGTCAAACCTTTGAATGATCCATTTAGCATATTCCAGGAATGGATAGATATCGACTACATGTTCACAAGTCAAGTTACATCTAAAGAGGTGAGTACAATACGTGCCAAACCGTTTACGTAGTTAATCATTTTACAGTGAAGAGACACAGGTTTCGAAAATACATTTCTTTATCCAACGCTATTTATCACAGAATGACTCAATTTTATCGTTGTCGTGGTTGCTTTTTTGGCTAAATTTATTAAGTCTCACGGGTAAATACGGAATATTAATAATGATATTAATGTTTATTTTTGTTTTTCTGTCGCAAGTTAATAAAAATGGTAGGTCCACACAGCACAGCCACAGAACTTGAACTGAGAATAAAGAGAAGCATTACTCATGTAAGTTCATACTCTTCATGCTTCTATTCTTTTCTATCAACTTGTAGATAATTAAGTTATTAATCACATTAATGATTGATAACCAATCATGTTTGATATTTTGAAAATGTAGCATCTGTAGGAAATTTGTTCGAGATTTTGATTTAACGAGAGTCTATATCTTGTTGCAGGGGGGACCATGGCCACGCCCTTGGATTGTCAACCAAGCACCTACACTTTTATTCTTCTATTTATTCATCTACACTTTTATTCACATCGTAAGTATATATTCCTGTTAAATATCCCCGATATAACTGATATTTTATCGAACATTTGTCCGATTTCTATTTCAAGACCATTTTTTTATTATCTCGTTTCAGGGGGAACAATGAACTACACCGCGCCCTTCGAGTATCAATCAAGCTCTATTGGGTCTGCATTTCTATCACATAGTAAGTATATATTCCTGTTAAATATCCTGATTCAACCGTATTATATTTAACATTTCTATTTTACGACGGCTTTTGTTTTATCTTCTTGCAGGGGAATCCTGAACCACACCGCGCCCTTCGAGAATCAATCAAGCTCTATTGGGTCTGAATTTCCATCACATCGTAAGTATCATGTATTTCTGTTAAATATCCCGATATAATCGTATTTTTATTCAACATTTCTATTTTATGACGGCTTTTGTTTTATCTTCTTGCAGGGGAATCCTGAACCACACCACGACCTTCGAGTATCAACCAAGCTCTTCGGTATCTGTACTTCTATTTACGCTGTAAGTCGATGTTACAATGTGATCTGTCACTCTGCACTATGCAGATGACTGTCAATCTCGCGTTCCGATTGGTTGGGAGTGCGTGCGTTATAAGAGTACATAACAAGCGCGCACACTTTCTATTTCGTTATTCGCATCCAAAATAACAGCATAAAGAAATAAAAAAAAAAGGGGTTGCGCTGCTTTGTGCGGTCATTAAACCTATGCGCTAAGCTTCGTGCTTCACCTAATAACGCGTTTTCTGTCAATCTTTTCCTGCTTTATAACTTCACCTCGCAGGTGCACGCGTTTTCAATTTCTTCAAAAACTGTACATTTGTAAGACAGTTGTATGATTTCATTTTACGTTATCTTTGATTACAGGAGAATCCTGCACCAACATCCTTGGACAAGAGCTTGTTCGTAACTTATGCTTACTTCGCTTGGATAAGGTAAGTTTGCTTTTAAATGATATTCAAAAATAAAAAATAATATTTAGGGTAGAGTAGAACGACGGTAATCGTAACATTTTTTATTTGTACGTTTACAGTTTTTCACCTCCTCTACTCCTCTACTTTTCAACCGTCGACTAGCTTTCAGCACCTCCTTCTAGTGGGTCATATTCTGGACACTGTCGTCATGCCTTCCTTGCTTCAGAAGAAACGATTAAGAGAGCTTCACAAGTGGTATATACGTACAGAAACTACGGTTCATCGTTTGGTCCAAGTGTTGAGCACAACGAAACAAGTTATACGGTAAAGGGTCATCAAGTCTCACAGGTTGTAAATGGTCCAAAAACCGTAAGTCATAAGTGTTGTGTTGTTGTTAAGGTAACTGATTTGGCCTTTAATTTGATTTGGCTTTGATTAGCTCCGATTATCCGATCTTTTTCGTTTCGATTTGATTTCGTTCGGCCTTTTGATTCTTTCTTGATTTCGCGTGTTTTCTTTCGACGTTCTTTGGGAATATCTTCTGTATCGACTTCATATAAGGATAGCTAGGAATTTGGGTCTTTTTTAGGAATTTCGGTCTTTTTAGGAATTTCGACTCGGTCTGTCTGTAGCCTATTTGAGTTTTTTCATTACTGAAGTCCTTCGGATGCTTCAGCTAGTTTTTTCAATAGGAATATTTTTTGGTTTAATTCGGCTTCGGTAGCATGATTTGTTTCTGGGTTTAGACAGTTTAGAATGGTTGTAATCAGGCAGTTCTTAGATCCCCCTGGCTTGGTTAATGCTTTGCTACTTCAGTTCGCTGGGTTTTTAAGGGTTATGGTCTTAGACAGGCACACGGTTACAAATAAAGATGAAATAAAGAAATAAAATAAAGTTGCGCGCGCGACGAATGTGTATGCGCCTTCGAGTGTGTGTGTCGGCTAGTTGTGGAGTAACCCCTACCTTGCCGCTGTTAGTTGGTACCGCTAGTATTAGCTAATGGTGATGATCCCCTGAAAACTTAGTGTTTGGTTCCTTAAGGCAGTCTATATGACCTTGCCTGTAAATTCTAAGGCTTGTGATTTGTCGGCTTCACAACACCCCAATTGGACACCCCTCTGTTGGTTTATACAGAGTGGGAAAATCCGCTACGAAGAACGGTAGCCTCCACGTGGCGTAGCGGGGAAGTAATTGCCATGGAAACCAGTGAGCTTGCATTCGATTGGCTGTTGAATTTTTATTGAAATTTGATCTTGAGAAAGCAACTTAATTCAAATTTTTCAAAGTGAAAAACTCTAGAATATGAATATATTTTGGTCAACATGTTTGAAAAATTCAAGGGTGCACACTGGGTTATATTCATGGTTGTTATTACAAATAACCGTTCAGAATTCATTCTACCTTATTACCTCCATTCCCGTCAACCCAACTTGATACAACCCAACTCTTATTTACTCACGTGATGCCGAGCCAGTTTTATGGGTGGACGAAATGACCAGATACCCTCACTCCTTATTTTGCAATCCTTGTATACACTTATTCCAATAAAGTTAGTCACCAAAAACCTAGAAAGCTGAGATCACTGAGCATCATGGGAAACTTTTCATATCAAAAAAGCATATATATGCAAAGCTTTTTTAATACAAACTGCAGCTCAATGATGCTCAGAAGAGGTGAGACTGTAACCGGTAAAAGATTCGCAAGTCCATGAACAGTTATCAAGCGGTTGAACGTGTAAAAAGAATCTACCCATAATCCTTGTCGGCCTCAGCTTTATAGCTTTTCAGGTGACTAACTTTATTGAAA